TCAGTTCCCCAAAATCACCCCCAACAGGGTGGAGCGGGGCGTGGGCGGGTCGCTGTCGGGACGAAAATTTTTGCCATCCCTAACCCGAACAAATAATCCTGGACTATGTAATAATTTTTCCTAAAATCCTACTTATTTTTTCCATTCATGTCATTCACAATTGCATATAACACTACAATTATGCACCATACTTTTTTGAGCAAAGGTTGCATTCAAATTACACAAAAAGGTGTTTGTTGTATGCATAAAAAAGATGTGATATTCATATTTACGCTTGCACTTGAATTTTTTAATTTAGAAAATGATTCGAGTATAATATGAGCATTCATTTAAATAATAATTGTGACAATTTCTTATTTTCTTTGAAAAATTAAACAATAGGTAATAGGTTGTTCCAATTACCAAAATAAAATTTGTAGATTTCGACCCAAAAAAAAAAAAAAAGACGAATAAGAAGAAGAAAAATAAAATTTGTAGATTACAATTTTTCTTAATATATATATATAAATTAAAAAAAATATCAAGTTTACCAATGGTTTGGGCTAAGGCTGACTAAGCCCAAACCTTTTGAGGCCGAGTCATGTTTTGGTCATGCAACATAGACCATGATCTTTTTGGGCTTTTCTATTTTCTTTTAAGACGTTAAGCTTGGACCCAGTCCAAACTATTGGAGTTTTGTCTCAAATATCTTATTAATTTACAAAATATTGTAAATAACAAAGAAATACCAATACTAAATGATGTACGAAAGGTACCACAGAAATTCACAGAACAGTACAGCAACATCATGTGCCCATCTAATTATTTGTCTGGATAATCATTAATTCTAACGATTCTACAAATTTTTGTTTTGGGTTTTCTCTAACAATAAAGTGGCCTACTAAATATTTAGCATAAATAATTTTTTTTTTTTTTTCCCGGAAAGGTAATTTAGCATAACTATTCCTCTGCGTTTGGTGCTAGAGAATCCAAAAAAAACGTAAAATTACAATGAACTACACTGCAAGAACAAATGTTTTTGCAATCAATGCAACACCCATCAATTAGTGAGTGAAAAGTTAATTAAAAAAAAATGGTCATATATACATGGGTCGGTTGATAATTCCTGGAAGGTTTGTCCTTGGCCTTGAATTGGATAGATTTATGAAATTTTTCAAGTCAAAAATGGTTAAGAAAGTGAAGCACAAATGACCAATTGATGTGACATAATATAATTGGTTGATGACATGGATGACGTAATATAATCGTTGTTTGATTCGTATAAAAGATTAATTTTAAAAGAACTGAAAGGGTGTGTCAAGAACTGCAGAAGTTCCAAAGGAGTGATCAAACAATATTTGAGAGAGGAAAGTTGACTATGAAGAGGTTTGGAATGACCATTTCACATTTGAAAATGGACTTAGGATTTGATTATGACTAAAGGAAAATAGACTAAAAAGTATTGGACTTGAAAGTAAAGTGTTGGAATGTAAAGTATCAATATAGGACTGAAAATTCAACATATTGAAAAGACAATGCAAGAATGTAAAGATTGATGAAATTGAATTGTATTGAAAATGCTATTTGAGATGTGTGTTGAATGGTTTGCAAGTTACAACATAGGGCCTTATTTATAGAATTCTCTTATGGCAGTTATTGTAGGTGGTTACGTTGATTTGATCAGATTTTGCAGAGTGTCTCACATACTCCTTCGCCTTCTTATGATGCTTACATGTGTGGGACCATATTTTTTCACATTTCTGCTATTTTTCTGCATGACTCTCCACTGTCTGGGAAAAAAAAAAATTAAAAATTGGTAACTTACCATGTGATTTATATCAAATCGACATTCATAAAATATAATTTCTATACTTTTGTGCAATTGGTTGTACACTCAAATTTTTTTGTCATTAACCACCATATATTGAAACTTCACCATTATGACTCAAGATAAGTTTGTGAAACGAAAAAGACTTGCGTACTCACTATAGTTCAATCATAATTGTACACATAATCTGTGATAAATAAGTAAATTAAAGAGATTGATTGACGAATAATTTGTCCATTTATAATTAGATCACATCAACTATCAGTAAAAATGACTTATTCATTGGTGAGTAGGTAAGTCTTGTTTGAAACGAAAAAGATTTGCCTACTCGGAAGTCTATTTGATAATTTTTTTTTTGCGAGTACTGAATATAACTTGAGATACTTGTCTATACTTCTTCTACAAGTATATACATTTTCAATATTAATATATATTTTATATGCCAATTAAAATAGAGTTAATACCTCTTTATACTAATAAATTATGTTACATAAATTTTTTCTTCCTAAACAATGCTCCTTTCTTGTTTTTCAAAGGATTTGGAAGTTTCACTATTTGTAAAGGTATGATGGTGGTTGATTTATATTGTTTGGTAAAGCCATGAAGAAACTGGAGTTAAAGGAGTTATAAAGACGACAACTGTCTAAGTGTGATGCGTATTGCTTTATATATACTTATATATATATTTTCTACAATTGTGTATCCTAAAAGTACATCAGTCATGTTTATTTATTGTTCTCCAAAGTCATTTTTATTTGTGGTGGGGGTGTGTACGCACGCGACAAAAAATTTATACAATTGCTTTGACTATATAATGGCCCGAACTATCAATCTTCTATTTTAGAAGGCTAGCTAATATTACAAACCTACAATCATTAGTTATGCATGACTCATATGCTAAAAATCAACCAAAAAAAAAAAAAAAATATCTTTCATCAAAATACTATTCACTTTTAGAAATATCTTTCACTATAATACTATTCACTTTTAAAAATATCTTTCATTTTTCAATTCTAACTTTGTAACGAGAGTTAGATTAAGGAAAAAAAAGAGAGCTGAACTCTTTAGAAAGGGTGTCGCCACCACCAACCTACATCCCCACCTCAACCACTGGCCGTGCCTTTCTCTCTCCACTCACCGCTGCAACATTAATCCCATAACAACCACTCAGCATCGCAGATCCGTTCTCACTACTAACTGCCATCGTCACTACCAACTGCCATAACTGCCATCGCCACCATCAACCTCCATCGTTAACTCCACCACCGTCTACCCAGGGCCGGCCTTGGCCCAAGGCGGTCGCCTAGGGCCTCAGAATATAAGGGGCCTCTAAATTTATAGGCCCATGTATGATGGGCCAAAAAAAAAAAAAAAAAAATTTACAACCAAATGCAGCAAATCAAAATTTATAGGCCATGAATGTTGGGCCACCAAAAAAAATTTATAACCGCAGCAAAGGGCCTCAGGAATGATGGGCTACCAAAAACAAAAAATAAAAAAATTAGGGCAAGCATATCACTAGTGATATGTATAGAGGGCCTCACATTTAAAATCCGCTTAAGGCCTCTCGAAATTTTTTCAATCTCGGGGCCGGCCCTGCGTCCGCCCTTTTCTTTCTCTCTCTCTCCCTTCATTACTGCAACATCCATCCCACAACCACCACCCACCATCGCGATCTCAACCACCGAGTAAATCCCTAGCAAAGTACACCTCACTTTGATGACACAATGGAATGAGAGTGTTCAAACTCCTAAGGTGAAATGAGAACGAGTCTCTGAGCTCTCAAAATGAGCCTAGCATAACGCGACTTCTAATTAAGGAAGTGAGTGTTAAAGTTAAAAGATTGTTTCGAGATGAAAAATTGTCACTTTTGAAAAAATGATTTCGAAGTTGAAAAAGGGATAAAAATTGATGTTTCGAGTAGACAGAATTTTGATTTTGAAAATGGACTTGAAAATTGACATTTTGAATAAGTGGGTGTTTTGGGCTTGAAAGTAGAAGTTTTGAAAAGAAAGTGTCTGTGATGTTTAAAAATGACCACGTGAGAGAAAGTGGGTTTTCAGAATGGGTTAGAAAATCGGGTTTTCAACTTGAAACGCAGTAGAAAAATGGATATTTTGAAGAGAGGAGTTTTTGACATGAAAAAGACCACGTAAACCCAAATTTCGGCCAAGATATGAGTTGGTTTGGGCCGAGGCCGACTAAGCCCAAATTTTGCAAAGACCAAGATGGTTTTGATTCATAAAGCCATTGAGTAGTTCCATTTAAACTCAGAGACGATTATTTAAAATTAATATAAATTGATAAGAATTGATATATAACGGATAGAAAATTAGCACTTAATATAAACTCAGAGAGAATTGTTTTAAAAAAATTTACCTTAAATATTAATAGGCAGTTTTTTTTACCAACATTGTTCGTCCTAGCTAATTATCGAGTTCTATAGCTGAAGAAAAATCTATTTTGAGCCTCTCTTAAGAATAAAAAAATTATAACTAATAAAATTTTGGGTTCCAATTGAGCCTATCTTAAAGAATAATAAAATTAAAACTAATATAATTTTGGGTTCCAAATATAAGTTGTGGATCATAATTCGGAAATTTATAAAAATCTTTTACGAATTTGTATAATATGGACTGTCCAAGGTCCATAATGAAAGAAACAAAAGGGTTTTTCATTTGTCCATGAAAAGCATTTTCCTATATGCTGATCGAGTATTGGGCTGGCGAGCCCAATATACAACCCAAGCTTGAAACCACCTCCCCATAAAAGAGCATACAATAAAAATGGCAACAATAACCAATTTCTCAAATCAGTATTTAGTGGATGAAATTCTTATCTCTGGATAAATCTAATTATGGGTCACATCTAATGCATCAAAAGAATAGAAGTCCTGTGCAAGTTGCGACTTGAAAAATAGCTTTGAATAACATTGTTCTTTATTTAATTGAAAAGTAATTTGGATATTTCTAACTGTATATTGATATCGTTTCCTATTCATATGGATTTGTCCGACTATCAAACTATATTTACTGTATTTGGACAAAAGAAACAAAAGGGCCTTGGATTTGTACATTACCCAAGTTTGTATCAGATGGGATGATGAAGAATTGGGCCACTTAGCCCAATATTCAACCCAAACTTGAAACCACTTCTAGATATATATAGAACAAATATATATGCAGTTTTGCTCTGTGACTAAAATGCTAAGAACGAACCTTTTCCACAATACATATACCTTTCGTTCACAAGATTTATATTGGTGGACCTATCCAAACAACCCATGATCCAAAAGACCTCAAAAATTAAGGACAATATCTTCATATGAGCTCTACAACCATGGCTTCTGCAATTTCTACTCCAATATATTTGTTCTCATCATCATCATCATCATCAGCATCTGTGAGCAGGAAACCAGTCCTCTACACTCTAACTAATTCTTCAATTTCATATCCCCAAACCCCAAATTTTCGTTTCTCCACATGGACTCCTCAACTGGGTCTCGGTCCCTTTTCCCCTTGGTGTGGTTTAAAGCATCTGGGTATCTCAATCTCGCAACAATCTGTGAAAATAGGTAACATTTCAACTTTTCTCATATGGGGTTGTGCTATTTTCTCATATATATTGTTCACACTTTTATTTATTTGTGTGTGTGTTTGTGTGTGTGAATCTTGAAATTTGAAAATTTGAATGTTTGTGTTGCAGGAATGAGGCGCAAATGTAAAGGCAAGGCTGTGTACGCATCTTTATTTGGAGTTGGGGCTCCTGAAGCTCTGGTGATTGGAGTGGTTGCTTTGTTGGTTTTTGGCCCCAAAGGTCTTGCTGAGGTGGTTTTTTACTTGCAACTCAATACTGTGTTTCTTGCAAGCTTTGCAACATAATTGGGGCTATTCAATTATAATTTGTAAATTCCTCTTATTTTAAAGATTTTTAATGATATTCTCAACTTTAGAGCATATATTAACTCATATCTCCTTTTCGATTATTTCAATCGAGTTACAATTAATTTGATAACCTTATTAGTTGTTGCGTTAGAAAATGGCATGATAGTTACCTTTTTCTGTATAACAGGATTATGAGTCACTTGGTGGATTTATTTGGCACATATCCCATTAAGTGGTTTATACATTCATGAACTCATACATGGACACTCTAGCACAAATTCTGCTATTACCGCGCATTGTTGAAATAAGAAAAGGGAAGAAGGGGGAAAAAAGGGTAAGAAACTATTGGGGCTAGTGATAGGGGTCCAATTATGTACTTATGAGTTTCATATGTTTGAGTAGAGAAATGAATTCTTCTACTTCAAAGCTATAGGAATTGTGCCCACTTCTAGCTTAAATTTGATTATTTTTGGATACTTAGATCAAATAATGATGCAGCCTAAAAGGAATGATATAAACAGAATTAAGCATTTAAAATGATGGTCCCAGTTTAAAATCTTTCTTGTCTTTGATGGAAACTGAACTGGAAACTTTACGTGAGGAATACATATGGAAGAAAGTAGGGTGATAAATGTTCATGGTGATTTATTAGTGTTCCTTGAAACTATATTAGGATCCAACAAACCATTAATTTGCAATTGGTATCTACTTTGGAAGATTACACATCAAAATTAATTTATTCGGCTCTGTCGAGAATTTGGTTTCAAAGACATGGTGTCTAGAACCACATTACCAGTCCAACGCAATGTTCGTGGTAATTTATTAGTGTTCCTTGAAACTATATTAGGATCCAACAAACCATCAATCTGGTTCACACTTTACTAAAATCCTTCCTCACTTTTCCTATGCACAGTAGAGATGCCTCTTATTTTGCTTGCTTATTTTTTATTTTTTAAAGTTTAATAACCATAGAAAGTAGATAAGATTATTAGACATAGTGAAACTTCTATGAGAGATTTTATGCCAAAAGAATTTCTTCTATTTTTCCAAAGATGTCAAGCGGATTATTACCTTTTACTTAGTAGGCTTCCATAATTGGATCACTCAAGAATTCCAACATAGAGGAGGTTTAGGTGACTACAAATTTGTGAAGGTTGAAGTGCAGGCTTAATTGATTTGATATCCGTAAGAAACAAATCAGCAGCTTTCAAGGAGAGGAGATTGTCAGCAGTGGGGTTTAGATTAGAAACATCTTTGCATTCTTAAAAGCAAACTGGAAAGGAGTGATGGTTTCAAAATGACTCATATGACTGCTTTAAGACACCTATTAACATCTGACATTCCTGATATGGGTTGAAGTCCAATCTTATAGGTAAACAATTTGTTGATTTACCCCTCTAACTTTAGGCAGTGAGATGATAAGAGCTCTGTGCAGTGGCATGAAAATTCTGGAACTCCTCCATCAGGTCTTTGTTCTGTGTGGTCATGGAAACTAGCCACAGTAAAACCATCTTCTAGGAGTTCATTACTGTCAGAATCAAATGCCACTTGCCTTACCTCTTTACTCTCAACCCTCAAGAGGTCTTTGGAGGTCATCATCATCATTCATCATTCTTCTTCTTCTTCTTCTTGACAATCTTGGAAAGTAGCTACAGTAAAACCATCTTCTAGGAGTTTATTACTGTCGAGATATATTACAGCTATGAAGAGATTATGCTGAATAGTTGGCACATGGTGCTGTTAGGACTGTGTTGGATTCGCAGTCCGGACTTGTAGGGGTATGAAAGGAGAGGAGTTATCCATCCCCAGCCCTAGGGTTGTGAGTGTTGCCATCTAGTGTAGGAAGATTTAATTATTAATTTTTTGAGATCCAGGTCTTCCTTCCTTCTTATCCTTTTAGTTCTCGTCCTCTTTTTTATTAATCAGCCCCTTCAAAAGTCTCAATGAAATATCTAAATGCAGGTTGCTCGGAATCTGGGGAAAACTCTACGTGAATTTCAACCTACAATTAAAGAACTTCAGGTAGGAATGTGTGACTTTTGGCTCAAAGTGTTTTCTTCTTACCACTCTTTTTCAAGCATTGATGTTACTAGTATTGAATTTTTTTTCTTTTCTGTAGGAAGTTTCAAGGGAATTCAAGAGCACCCTTGAACGAGAGATTGGTCTTGATGAAATTGAAAGTTCGATGAAAAACACTTACAGCTCCAAAACAATCAGTACTACCTCAACACCTCCTGCAGTTACAAGCTCTAAGGATGCTGAGATGGTCGTTGACCCTAGTGAGTAATAAAATATTTTGAAAATTAAATTCTTTTTCTTCTTATCATATTGAAATGCGAGTTTTTCCTTGGTTTGGTATCTAGTTAATGTTATTTGCTATAATTTAGTGGACCGTTAGTGATTCAGTGCATCATGTGAATGACATTATTTTACTAGGTTTCAGATGAAATATAGGTTTTTCTAAGAAATTTAAATTATTGGGATAGTTTGAGCACCCCATTTTAATTACACAATTGTACTATTGTTTGATCATTTTGCAATTGAATATTACATATTCAAACAATCGTGATGTATAGATAGTTACAAATTGGTGCATGACTTTACACAAGGGGAGGCCTGTTGTTATCTAGGTTCAAAGTACTTGCATATTCTAAGCTCTAAGGCATTGCTTTTTTATCAGCGAGTATGAACTTCCTGTTTATTCCTAAAATTCTGGTCTGTGTAAATTGGGGGTAATTCTGATTTGGAATTTGGCAAACAAAGAAGCAGTTTTTAATTTTCCATAAATTGGGGAAATTTTGTTTGAATCATTAGTAAATTCAGTGATGTTAGGACAAAAACTTAAAATTAAAATTTGATTTTTCCAATTTGACTGAAAACACATAATTCAGTAAATTACAAATTCATATTGAAGTTTTGAATTACCTGAGGTAACATTTATTTTATTTTATTTTTTTGTGTGTGCGTGTGGGATGGAACTATCAATTTACAATTGAGACACAGTGATGATCATTGTTCTAAGACTGGTATTTACCAGCTGAATACAAAAGCAACATTAAAGCAAGTCTGGCCCTGGTTACTACACTAGTCTCATTTTTTCAGATATTAGGTATTTTATTTTGAGAATTATGGCTGCATAATATGAAAATAAATATCTTTTCTAAACATAATTTGTTGCATAATCAGAACTATGATAATTCTTACTCTTGAATTATTGTAGTTTGCATGTAGTGTGTAACATGCTTTCACATTCAAATTATTATGGAGATTATGTATTTATTCCTGTCAATGAAGTTGATGGGAGTATGATTTTACTAAAATTGCAGATGGTACACCATCTCCAAACAAAGCATACTCGAGCGAAGACTACTTGAAGATAACAGAAGAGCAGCTGAAAGCATCTGCTGCCCAACAGCAGAATCAGACACCCCCTCTAGGAGAAAGCCAGTCCGAATCACAGAGTCAACCGCAAGGTTTGTAATTTTTTCAAACAACTTGCATTGTTTATAGTCTTCTAACAACTCTCTCTGATGCTACTTATATTGACTGGGACCAGGTACTGTTCAAGAAGCTGCTGCTGTGAAATCTCCACAACCGAAGCCCGAAAACAACACATAAAACTTTACAGTAGGTTGGAAAAAGTGCAGAATTCATTTTTTTTTTTTTTTACTATTAGTGGAGAGTGTTCTTTTATAGGCCTCTTTAAAAGACAGTGAAAAAAGGTTTGAGTGTGTTCTATGCATTTGTAGAATAGGATTTTGTATACTAAAAACTATTTTAGTGAGTCAAACCAATTTTCTGTGCCAACCATCTTTTTTAGGAGTTAATGTACATTATAAATACCATTTTCTCTGTTCTGGTAAATAGTCATATATATATATATATATATATATATATATATATATTTATTTATTTATTTGACTATGATAGTGTCGGGCCTCTTAGAGCACCTCCTAATCAACCACTGGGCGGGCCTCCTGTCCCACATGTCCTGCATGCACTGGGCAAGGAAAATTTCATTCTCTTCAGAGGGGCAAATATAAACTGGTTATAAGGGCGGTGACCATGAAACTGATGAGTTTATAGGATGTTACAAGCATTATCTTTTCATTTCACATGTTCAGAGAGGTAGTATCTCAACTCTTCAAGGTAAGTATATTGTCTACCATTATCCTTCATAAAGAGCGCATCACTTTTTCTAACAGTGTAATAATTAGCTGTTGCTGGACATGGTTAAACCATCTTAATCGATTCTCTCTTAATTTGTCATGATCAGTTCCGTAATTTTGCGGACCCTTGAGTCAGCCAAGTGTGCATAACCCCCTCTTATGGCGGCCCCCACAAAGGGGCTGTGTTTAGCCGGCTGAGTTGATCTCCAAAGTTGGTCATCTTATTAAACTTAATGAACATTACTACAGTGTTGCAAAGCGGGTTAAACTCACTCATACGTTTATTACGTTTCTTATTGATCCCCAAAATGGGTTTAATAATTTCATTAGGCTGTATATGATTGAATTTGTGTGTATATATATATGTCTGTGCGTGTGTATATACCGTGGAGAGGAAGAAAGGAAAAGATTGGGACCTTTAGACACACATCTTTTGGCTCATTTCTTCGAAGAAATGTCAACCCCTTCTTGCGCGAAAGATCATAGGAGTTTGGTTATGCAACTATTTGGTAGCAACTATTTGGTAAAATGGATAATGTATAAGAAAAATCCTTAATACTCTTTTTTTCATTTGATAGCAACTATTTGGTTAAATGGATCAACATAGACACTCGAGCATAAAATGGTCACGTTAAACTTGATGCATGCTCTGCCATTTTAAGGATGACATCCAAATGGTCTACTTGACCGGATATTTATCTTGTAGTCACTCTTGAGCGGGTGTGTTAGTGTTGAAGTCCCCATTTTACCGGAATAAAAAAATAAAAATAGACACAAATTGCAAAATAATAAATAAATAACCCTAATTTGCCATATATATATATACTTTTAATACTTCTACGGAATCCGATAGCTCGGTTTGGGAAGTGAAATTCTATACCAAAAATCGTGTATAGTCCGATACCGAGGGAAGCTTCGCTTTCGAAGAATCTTGTCGATCCCTCGCTTGTAGCTTCAAAAAGTCCCAGAGGTTTTTGAATCATTTTTGAATTTCTGCGTTTATTTAGCGAAACCCTATTTCCTGTGGTTGGATTCATCAACCGCTTTGTCGCCCAGTGTCCTCTGTAAAGTCACCCGGAGTTCAAGTTCGATCCATTAGGTTCTTCGATTTGTTCAGAAAAGAAACGAGAGACAAGAAAACATCTTTGATTACTATTAAAAGGAACAATCTCATATAAAACTCCCTAGCAAATATCTAAGTCCAATAGATTTTATGCAATTTGTTATTTCTTAAATTTTTATGAAGGGATATTTTCTTCATTGTAATATTATTTTCTGGTTTCACACGCAATTTAACCGTTAACTTTTGTAAAATGGTCTTCAAAATTAAAACAATTGAATAGTTGATGAATTTTAGATCAAATTTTAGTCTAAAGTGCTTATCTTTCTATTTGTAACCTAAACTTACAAAGAGTGAGATTGAATGAAAAAAGAGTATTAAGGATTTTTCTTATACATTGGCCGGTCAAGAAATTTTGATTGAAGTAAGACTTCTACAATTCTCTCTTTTCATTTCTGTTTTGAAAAAAAAAATAGGTGGGCAAAAGAGAAATATCAACTATTAACATGAAATCATCGAATTAGATATGAGCTATGTAGCAAGGACACAGACATGGAATATGGATACAATACGATATGCATACATCGATACGTCAAATTTTAAAAACGTAAGATACGGAAATGCCATAGACTCAGTTATATATAAACATAAATATTTATTTTTATATAGTATTATAAAATTTTAATTCATTTATAATTTCTAAACTAAGAGTTGGTTTGAAATGAATTAGAAATGAAATTATATCATTATTGTAATGATTTTTATATCATATATATCATTATTTACTATCATATTATTTTCAAGATTACTGGATAGACTTGTGTTAGAAACGTCTGAAAAGTGTTGTCAAAGTGTTCGGAATAATAAAATTAATTTGTTCCAGTGGCTTGGTAGAGTTGGTAAGGAAACAGCCTGAGGTGCCATATGTCCCAGATTCGAGCCCGTCCACTTCCATTATATTTTCTGACTGAAATTGGTGCTGAGGTGTGGGATTGTAGCCAGCATCCCAGGTTTGTAACCTAATGTGGGTGTCGAAGGAGTCTTGCCTAGGGGAGTTTATGGTGCCAATAAAAAAAAAAATAATAATAATAAAATTAATTTTTGTTTATGGACACATATATGAAATATCGGACACGTATCAATATGGGTACAATACGAATACGACTCTTTTGTAGAAATATTCGTATTTCTTAGAACATGAGTTATGGAAAAATATTTTCCAACAAGACCTTACGAAGGAAAACCGAAAAGTAGCAACTAATGACAGCACTCGAGACTCAAAATTAGAATCTGTTTCTATTCAAGACCACATTAAATGATTAAAAAAAAAAATGTCATGTTATTACTCGTGTAAGTATTCGCTATGACATTTTATGCACAACTTAATCCAATCAATGACGGTAATGTAATTTTTTGTAACTGTTAAATCTATGTTTGGAGATTTATTTATTTAATTTTTATTTATTTATTTTTATATACTTTGTAGTTAATTTTGAAGTCTAGCATTTTTATAATTAAAAATATATATATTGTAACGTCGGTATCGCAAACGGTCCAAATGATCGCTGGGCCCCGATCCGTTTCCAAAGCCTTGCCCAGTTGGCCCTTTTTGAGAGCTCCGGAGGAGCGCCTAAAACAACGATTTGAAAACCAAAGTACCCAACGGCTACTTCTCTCTCCTCTCTCTCATACCGATCTCTGTCACAATACTCGAATTTCACACTGCGTTTTAGTCTGAAAACTCCACTCATCCATGGCCGAACCTGGTTGCATCAAACCTAGTCCCAGAGTCCGAATCGTAGCAAAAATTCGGGGCTTTACAGATCATGAATCGGAACCTTTGAGTGGAGATTCAACATCGTGGATCTCTGTACACAAACCCAAGGAAGAAGATTCATCTGAAAGAGTTAAAATCTCCTTTGGAGACCAATTAACCAGGTAATTTACCTTTTATGATTCCATAAATTTTTGAATTTACAATTTTGTAAACAAAGGTGAAACCCTAAATCCCCATTTTGGCACTGTTATCATGCCTCTTGTATCTGAAGTTTGTGTTTAAGGTTTTGAGTTTTATGTATAGATATGGACATTTAATTGACGGTTGCTTCTAGAAGAACTAGGGTTTAAGCTTTAGACTATTTCTTGTTAATGTTGGTATCAAGAAACTGAGGAATCATTTTTTTTTTTCTCTTTATTTTAAAGGAAATATTCTTGACCATCATTCTTTCACGTTTCTTATTAATTTTCGTAAATTCTTGAATTTGCAATTACAGAGACACATAATTTACAATTTTGAAATCAAAGATGAAACCCTAAAAGCCCCATTTTGGCAGTGTTTATCATGCCTCACGTTTCTGAAGTTTTGTGTTACAGATATGGAAATTTTATTGATGTTTGTTTATACGAGAGTCACCTTTTAAGCTTTAGACTATTTGTGGTTAGTATTTGTACGACTTTTTTTTTTTTTGAAAGGAAATATTCTTAACCATCATTGTTTCATGTTTGTTATTACATTTTCCTAGTAATACTGTTCTTGTTTCATTTTTCTCTAAGATTTAAGAACAAACTATTTTGAGTTTTTAATTTAGATGAAGATTAGTTCTTTCTATGTCTTGCAGTTGTAAAGATGCATATGAAGTCGATTATTGCTACAAACAAAATGAGGACAATGCTTTATTTTCGAGAGAGGTGAAGCCTTTGATTTCAGGGGTTTTTGATGGTCAGAATGCGACAATTCTTGCGTATGGAGCTAGAGGTAGTGGGAAAACCTACCTAATTCAGGTGAGGTTTTCATAGATACATATAAATATATATTTATATGTAGTTTGGAAAATTAATGTTTAACCATATCTTGAGCTAGAATATTGGGTTTGCTTGCTCTTGATAACTTTTCCAATTTAAGGGTTCCGAGAAGACACCAGGTTTGGCGGTTCTCGCAGTGGCTGAAATCCTCTCAATTGTAGAGGAAAGAAGGAACTCAGTTACCATATCTTCTTATGAGATCTTCCAGGACCATGTTTATGATCTCTTGGATCCCAAACGGCCCGAGGTTCTAGTACTGGAAGATGCTCTAGGCAAAATTAAACTTAAAGGGCTTTCTCAGGTGAGTTAATAGGTTCTTATGAAACTTTATCCTTATATGTAGCATCTTTTGTGTGACATTGCTGTTGTTCAATTTTCAATTACAGGTTTCTGTGAAATCAATCTCAGAATTTAAAAAAATATACTTCAGCGGGTGTAGTTCACAAAAATTAGTGCAGAAGAAGGCACTTGAAATGCCAAAAAGAAGCCACAGAGGTTTAATAATAAGCATTTCTTCTTATGATGAAAATTCAAATACCAAGTGTGTGGGCAAGATGAACTTTGTTGATTTAGCAGGTTTTAAACTCTTAAACTTACAATTGAATTTTAAATTTTAAGCAATTTTGTCAATAAGTCCAGTGCTAATTCTTCTTCTATTTACTATTCACTAGGCTATGAGGATCCCAGAAGAAAGAGTAGCGATAACCTTAATCTTGTTGAGAGTACTAGAATCAACAAGTCTCTGTATGCTCTACTGAATGTCGTTTATGCCCTTAATGCTAATGAAAGCCGTGTGCCATACCGGGAATGTAAAGTCACACGCATGTTACAAGATTCTTTTGGAGGGAAAAATCATGTAGTGATGCTTGCTTGTTTGGTGAGACTCTTGCGTTACTTTTTAAGGTTTTCAGTTTATAGTTTTTTTTAAGCATTTTTTCTTTTCTCTCTCCCCCCTTTTCTGGGATAAGTTTTTTTTTAATTATTTGATTGCATTAACTTTATAGCCTTCTTTGAGTGTAGAATCCATCTTTTTGTCAAGACACTATCTATACAACAAGTTTGGCTTCTCGGTCTTGTCAAGCCATCAATCGAGTTTTCACAGGCTCCACAAAGAAATTTAAAACTGCATTCAAACCAATGGTGCTTTCGTCACTGAAAAATGGGAACCTTGGGACTGTTTCCACTACTGCAAAAAAAGAAATTGGCTCCCGAGTGCGATTCTCTGAAAAGAAAGGCAGTTGCAAGGAGAAGGGAAGGTATTAAGGTTTCTTGAGCATTGTATTAAGTCAAAATTGATTTCTTATATAACATACTGCTAAATACTAGTTTCCCTTTTTACTTGAAGGAAACTATTTGATGAAGGAAATCAGTTGATCAGTTTTGAGCAGGTAAATGATCTGTCACCTTATACCAAACATTCAGTATTAACTCTCATCCTTTTTCTTCTACCCTTGCCCACTCCATGGTGCATGTAGAATTAAGAAAAGTGGAGAAAAAATGTATATGCATATGATGAAGTTGGATATTTGAAATCTAAAATTTGCATAAAGCCTCTGGCTCATAGGGACTTACCTTTCTGATGTGCAAACCTTTGTCGTCTAATAAAGTTGAATATTTAGCTACCAAATAACCTTCTTTTGTAATTGTGTATCATGAGATTTACACAATCATCATTTTTAAAACGTTTTAAATCCTAAAGTAAGGCTAACTGAAATTCAATGCAGGCAAAGTCCACATCAGATAATGCTTCAGCAATGAAGTCAAACATTTCCTCGAACATTGATTCAGCCATTGAACCATCTTTGCAGGAAGAGGTTTGACAATCGAAACCGTACATTTTCCGTCTTCTAATACTTTCTTTTTTCAGGAAATACTTGATTGACACCATCAAGTATAATTAACCTTCTTGTATAATTGTGAATCATGATATTTACAAAATCATCATTTTTAAAACAATTTCAATCCTAAGGTAAGGCTAATTGAAATTCAATGCAGGCAAAGTCCACATCAGATAATACTTCAGCAATGGAGTCAAACCTTTCCTTGAACATTGATTCAGCCATTGACCCATCTTTGCCCGAAGAGGTTTGACAATCGAAACCGAACAGTTTCTGTCTTCTAATACTTTCTTTTGTCAGGAAATACTTGATTGACACTATCACCTCTTTGCAGGAAAAGTCCATTCCAGTTGCTTCTTTAGCCACAATATCTAAAGAAGAGGTAAATAGTATAGTTGGGATAATTTATAACAACTTCAAATGACTTGCTGAGCTCATTACTGTCCTGATGCAGGAAACTTTGCTGCCAATTGTTTTTGAGGATGCAGAGCCTGCTACGACAGAAAAGGTAATAAACCATCCTAACAGATTTTTGGATGCTTCTTCAGCCACAATATCTAAAGAAGAGCTAAATAGTATAGTTGGGATAATTTATAACAACTTGGAATGGCTTACTGAGCTCATTACTATCCTGATGCAGGAAACTTTGCTGCCAATTGTTTTCGAGGATGCGGAGCCTGCTATGACAGAAAAGGTAATAAACTATCCTTATAAATTTTTGATTCTACTGAGACAATTTTTCCGCAAATGCTATATGTTAGTTCAATAGGTTCAGCTGTTTAAATGAACTGTGACCTTTTATCATACCTGACAATAGTTATTTTTCTTGGTTCTGACAATGGAGTTATGTTTTGCACTATTCTTATAAATTTTTGATTCTACTGAGACAATTTTTCCGCAAATGCTATATGTTAATAGGTTCAGCTGTTTAAATGAACTGTGACCTTTTATACCTGACAATAGTTATTTTTCTTGGTTCTGACAATTGAGTAATGTTTTGCACAAACCCTGTGTTCTTAGATTTCTCAGGATGTTTCTCCCCGAGATGAGAGCAACTGTGTAGAAGTTACTCCTGGTACTAATAATTATGCAAAAACATTGATTGTTTTTGAAGATGGTAGGTATATGTGAATTGAAAAGGCTGATTTGCAAAGATAGTAGATGTGATTGTGATACTTTTATCAATTTTCTTTTATGTTCTATGACATTATAGGTAATAGCATAGAAAAGGAGAACCAAAATTCACTTGTCAGTGAAGGTGGGTCACCACCAATAAGTGCAAGACTACGAGAATTGTCAAATAACTTGAAGACCCTATATTCTTCAACTCCATTGCGCTTAAAGGTGATGCCAAAGGAAATTAATACTCCATCTAGGGGTCAACTAGTTTGCACTGATATTGTGGAACCAAAAACCCCAGTTGTTCAACAAACTTTGAGAGTAGGCAACTGTGATATTGCAACATTTGATAGTCCAAAGGAAACATTCAATATGCAAAGTTCGGGGATGAAGGTTAGGTTCCTTACAATTTTTTTTTTTTTTCCTACACTCTTCTTTTGAAATTCATTTCTGACTTTCATGTTGCTAATTTGAGTACATGTTTTGTTCTTGCAGCATTCCCTTGTTCAAGAGTACCTCAAATTCTTAAATTCTGCTAGCAAGTGAGTGCTTTCTCTATTTGTTTTGTTATTTATTATCCATGAATATTTGAGATCGTGGATCATTTTGATTCATTTTTATATCGTATGAGGATATGAAATAACCATCCTTTTTATATGATGGATCCCTCCCCCACCACAAAACTTGAGATAAGGTTTAAATAGGAAAATAACTTTAGTTCTATACCGGTATTCATTTTTAATTTGTTACAACTCGGGACTTAACGCAAGATATCTTGATTGTTGCAAAAGTTGCCCCAACCAATTTTTCACAAAAATTACTTAATGCATACATGATCACCTCCTCCGCATTTCTTCTTGATGAGCTAATACTATTTTTCCCTTTTGCAATTAACAGGGAAGAGTTGAAAAGAGTAAAGGTGATTACCCATTCAAAAATTACATGATGAGTACTTTCATGAAATCATTTCTATCTTTAATTATCGTCTTTTTTTGCCTTAATCCCATATAAGTGGGGTTGACCGTATGAATTATTATCTTATATTTATGTTTATGTGTATGCATAGGGTATTGGAGAGAAGAGAGCGACTTACATTCTTGAACTTCGTGAAGAATCTCCTGAGCCTTTCAAGCAAGTAAGAATTTTACAATTTAATGTGTATTTTACCAGAGCTTGCTATTTTTATGGCTAAACCTCTTGTTTTGCAGCTCGATGACTTGCAGGACATTGGCCTTTCAGCAAAACAGGTAATAGCACTATAGCTATTCAGCTTTCGCTTACTGTATGGTTTATTAATGTTTTTAGTTTTCCCAATTCCCGACTAATAATTGTTGCTGTTTTTCTGCTTTAGTTCTCTTTCTGCCTCATTTATTTAAATGTCCTATCCTCTCTTACTGTCTAAAATTATTTTTTCTTTCTTGTTCATCACATTCATGAAGTCATTTGCTTCTCACTATATATTGCTTCACTTATATTGTTATTGTTACTTCTACAGATCAAGGGCATGATGAAGAAGGTAGCTGGGGAGCTTTTCAATTAGTTGACTAAAGCAATTTAATACAAAACATTGTGTTTGGTATTGGCAACGTGAAGTTGCCACACAAGTATTTGGCTCATTGCGGTAGCGAACACTGTGTGTTTAAAAATGAACATTTACTTTTTGTACATTGGCTTGGTTTTGTTGCTTTGAAATCTGTCTTGTTTAGTGTATGCATTAATTCGGGGGAAAAAAAAAAAAAAAAAAAAAAAAAAAGTTTATGCATGTGGGACGGGGACTGTTTGGTGGTGGATTATGATTTATTCTAGCAATGTGCATAGAAATAATAATAATAATAATAATAATAATAATAATAATAATCTGAACAAAAACTTATTTAGTTGTCAGAAAGAAAACTAATTAAAAAATATTTGTTTTCAAATAAAATTGCCGGTGGCAACCCGTAATTTTTATTTAATTTTTTAATATTTTTCTATTTGCAAAAGAACTACAGCTAACCTTATAATACTCCTTTATTAAGCAAGTTTGGACGGCCTGTATTCAATTAATATCATAACATCAAATTGTACTCACAATAGGAGTAGGAAACCAAACTGAGTTGGGAAGCCTACTTAAGTTGGCAAACTTTTTGGTTGTTTTTTCTTTTTTTAAAGGGCGTACAGAGTCTTTCGACTCAAGGTGTTGGATAGCCAATCCTTGACGTCTATCAAATCAGAAATCGATCTCTAGTGAATTAGGCAACTGCTGGAAAGAAAAGAATAAACCCTTCCTTCAGTAAGAGGACTTCAACAAAATAAAGGGACTGAAATTGGATGAAAGGGAGCAACACTAAATGCACAAGCATTCATCAGTTCTATAGAAACTTACAAAACAAGAATAGAGGGAACATATAAGTTCTAGCATCTATTTTATTCCATAATTAATATTCCTATACAAGAAGACTAGTACAAGAATTTGATTTTAATAACACTACTCCTAAGGAAAAAGAAGTAGAAAGATTAGAAGTGTAAAGACTACATTGTGTAAAGTAAATGCAGAATTTGTATTGGTCGTGGACCTTTCTTGTCAAGCTCCGAATCCCAGTGACCTGGTAAATGAGCAGATACAAGATAACCCGACTCTTAATCGAGTCCTAAATGCAGAAGTTATAAATGATAAACCATCACCCGAGGTGATTAACGCCTCAAAGCTATCAATGGAGTCTCAAAGTAAGTCAATTGGACTAGGGGTGGCAATTTATGTTCGCGGATCATAATCGCGTCTTGTCAATCTAAGGATATTCTACTAAATAGCTCATCCCGAACATGACCCGTTTAATATTCGTGTCAAAAACTATCAACACTAACTCGACCTGTTTATTAAACTTTATTGACCTATTTACTAAAATAAAAAATATATATGATTTAAATTGTCAATAATACTCAATCAAGCAATAAATACTAAAAATATATAAGTTTCAATCTAACCAAATTACTAAATAATCTCTAGTTTACAAAAGAGTAAATTATAGGACACAGGTTTAGATAATTATTTTGGAACTTAAATATAAATTTGTTTATGACACGTATAGTTAAACAGGTTAGACGAGTTGAACTACCTTAACCCAAACACGTTATGATTAACTAAACGAGTTAATCGTGTTGACCTGTTTACGACCCAAACCCGTTTAAAGTAAACCCAAACCCATTTAACTCGTGTCGTGTTTGTGTCATGTCAAATTTTGTCATCCCTAAATTGGACTCTCACTTAAGTCCCACTATACGTTCAATAACATCCATTAGGATTCTAGAAATTATGAGGAATATAAGGAAAATCATAATCAACTCTCACTAAAATAATTATAACTTCTTCCATGGTTGGAATTTTTGAGTGAGGTGAGTACCACTGGAAAGCTTACTTTGAGCTCGTCAGTTTGAGCATAAATTTGACCTAATTTGGATTTAAAATGAGCATTTGAAGTTAGCAAGTCAAAACTGGGAGGGTGAACAGTAGCGAAACCTATTGCGAACCCAACTTTTGGACAAAATAAAGCAACGCAATCGATTGTGATTGGGCACAATTGGCTCTGCTTGGACAATAGGCTAGAAAAGGCTAAAAAATGCCCCTTTTCAAGGTTCAAGGCCATGGACTCCATCTAAGTCTCAAACATGCATTCCAAAGGGTTCAAAAACTAAGATTAAGCATCCCTTGCTTAGGATCATGGACAATGTGAATCAAATGTGTGTGCAAGCCAATATGATCATAAGTGTGCAAAATAAGATGAAACGTGTGTAATGCCATGGATACAACATACAACATACATATAAATAGGAATGGCCTTAAGGCCTCATTACAACATTGTCCAAGTAAAATACCCGTCAAAAGAAATGTTACATTATCCAAAAACACACAAGAAGTTAGATTAAAATCCATAAAAATACGCTACACATATAACATGTCCAAATCTTCATGAATATCCCAGAAATCCATCATGTTCAACACCAAGGTAAAAATGAGGGGAAAATTCCACAAGTGCAATACCATTTTATGAGAAAGATTAAATCAATGTGGGTGAGCAAAATAATTTCTCAGTAGGGAATATGCTAGGTAAATAAGTTACTTTTCTTGGGACCTTATAAGCATAATATGGCTAAGCGATGCATGAGACATGCTCCCTAACGCCTAGTCTCAAAAGGGGACCTATCAAAGGATCATCCTAGACTATCATATGAATGAACTATATAATGCAAAATCAACCATTTCACTATAAGCAAACATAAGCACAATAGTGAAATAAAGAAAATCACAAGTTGCAATAACACATGAATGCCAAATTGAATAATAAGATTCGAAATCAACAAATGGGATAATTGAAACACACCCACACTCCAAGTCACATAGCCATGATATGCGCCAAAAAAATGGTTATTTTAGGGCTATTAACCCTGTCAGAAACCAACTAAGTAACCACTAAAAATTAAGGAAACTTATGTTTCACTCGTGAGCTCATCCTCTTAACAAGTTAGATTCCCAAAAAGGGACATTTATTTTAGGACGGAGGGAGTATAAGTCTAGAAAAATATCTTTGAAGTAACTGCAACCAAGTATTTGAGCTGTTAACTTCTTCTGTCTTATTTTTCCTTTATGAAATTGAGAATGTTGTAGTATTCAATCTCCACAACAATAGAAAATGATGCTGTTGACTCTATGGATTTCTCCTAAGGGCAATCTGGTACTTTTGATGATAACAAACCATTAATGATGTTCGATGTACTAATGTTTACATTGAGTTTAATTCCATATCAAAAGGATCTTTGTGAGGAATAAAGGATAACTCTAACACAAGAACAATTCTAAATTATTGAAGCTGAAATCATTCTGGAACTTGTCACCAAAGCAAAATGCAACTGGCATAAGGGAGTCTATGCAACTTCAAAGAACAGCAAAGCTTGCCTATTGGGTAGACATGTTGGTGAGTGACTTAGGAACAAAATGTAAAGAATCTGTGAGATCATTTGAAGCTTATTCTAAGATCATTCACACACTTCAAATCATCACATTCATGAAAATTAAGTTGCCAATCATTTTACAAGACTGACGCTCTACCACTGAGCTATAGGGGCTCTTATATGTTATTAGGGTGGCAGGGACAACGAATTTGGTGATGGAGGAGGGTCCCCCCTCCTCCCCTTTCCCGCCGGCGGGATCTTCAAGCCGGAATCCAGTCCCATCCCCCTCTTGGTGCCGTTTCTTTAAAGAAACCATATCAAATTTCCAGAATTTGAGTTATTATAGTGAGGTACGTGGAAAGAAAATTTTGATTAAGGAAGAAGATGTTGTAGAGGAAATCAAATATTGGTACTCATTTGTGGTTGGCTATGTGATGGGGAAAAAGCCTTATTATCCTTATTTTAAATCATTTGTTGAAAAACAATGGTCTAAGAACTCCACTCTAATCTATTTGAATGATGGTTTTTTCTTGGTCCGGTTTCATGATGATGCTGATGTGCAGCAGGTCTTATCTCGTATTCATACATTAGAGGGAAGACCAATAATTCTCAAACGATGGAGTAAAAATGTCAATTTAGTAAAGGAAGTATTGGAATCGGTTCCAATTTGGTTGAAGATTTATGACCTTCCAGTGCATTGCAGAAAAATATAAGTGGTTTCTATGATCTGCTCTTCTTTTGCCAAGCCTATATACATAGATGATTCCGATTCTTCTAGAGATAAAGGGAGATATGTGCAAGTAATGGTAGAAATTGATATGAAGGATGAGTTGCCAGACTCAATGGAAGTGGATTTTCACAGGGTTGATTGTGTGCTTCACTTTGAATATAACTGGAAGCCACAACTTTGTACCATCTACCAGAGGGTTGATCATGTTTCTAAAAGGTTCCCTTAAAAGGTTTTACAGACCAAACCGCAGAAGAAGAAAATGGTTGATAAATGGGTTGTGAAACAGAAAGGAAAATTGGTGGTTCAAGATGAAGATGAGGTGCTTGAAGAAAGTACCACTAAAGAAGACAATAGGAGCAGTTCTATTGTTCCTATTCAAACCTCAAATACTTTCCAAGTTTTACTTGAAGATTCACAGAAAGAAGACGTGGTGTTTATTTCAGAAGAAGAGGGGGAGATCCTCTAATTAGAAGAAATAGTGGTGACACCTAATAAGGATCTACAGATAGAGACAATTCAAATAGGAAGCACAATTGCAGTGAAAGAAGGCTTAGTTAATCAAGAAGTTCCAAGTATAAATGATATGTCTGATGTGGTGGGTGCACAAGATGGGGTTAAAAATGATTTAAGTTCACAAGTAATATCCATTAGGGTTCTTGCGAATTCCAGTATCAAAAAGGATATTACTAACGATACACCTACCATCTCTTCCAGAATCAAAAAAGATATTACCAAAGCTACACCTGCCAACTCTTCCAGTACCACAGAAAAGATCAATGTTAAGAAGAAGAATATAGGTTCGTTGGCTTCTCATAGAGTGACTAAAAGTCAAGGGGGTGCTCCCTTTTCTCCCCCCTCTCAATGATCACACCTTGGAATGTGAGGGGCTTGAATAAGCCCAGACGACAAAGAGAGGTTCGTCAGTGGATCAAATCCAATGACTCTCATCTTGTTTGCTTACAAGAAACAAGGGTTAGATTATCTAAGTTTGAAGTTATCTCAAAGAAAA